TACGTTGCAGCAACATTAAACCTTTTGATAAGTTACGGGTTTTTATTTTAAATTCTATCTCTCTCTCCCTCACACCCACACACACTCTCTTTCTCTCTCTCACTCTTTCTAACACTCTTTTGTTCCCTGTAAAAAAATTTTTATTTTTATTTTTATTAATTGATGTTGTTTGTTTTGAATTTCACGCGTGCTCTTTTTCCTTTATTTTTTTTTCATATTAATTTTTTTTTTAAAAATATTGATTCGATATCGATTGATTATTGATTAAAGGATTTGATTTATTAATTAGGAAAACCGCCGTTCAAATTTATTCTGTGTGTAAAAGCGCCGCCATATTTGTTTTTTTTTTATTTCTTGTATTAATCAATTAATTTCAATTTTTTTTTCAACTCCCACGCAGTTTTTTCACGTTTTTATTGTTATCCCTTATCAATTTTTATTTGATTAATTTTGTTATAGTAAAAAAAGGAATATCGTATTGAAAAAAAAAAAAAATTTCAATAATAATAATGATGATAATAAAGAGTCGTGAGGGAATTTAAAAAAGGAATTAATTCATTCGTTTTGTAATTTCATCGGTTTTCAAATGAGAGGGAACTGTTGGGGAGGTTGTTAGGGAAAGAAAGAGAGGGCGGGTGATAATGATGATGATGATGGCGGTGGTGGTGGTGACGGTGGTGGCAAAAGGTAAAAACTAACTAGGATTTTTGATTTAAAATGATTATAAATCAAAAAGTAACTTTTTTCAACAAAAAACCTTTGCTGCAACCTTTTAAAATAAAATTTAATTTGAAAATCAAAAAAAAAAAAAAAACAAAAAAACTTTCATTGAATTCGTTTAAAAACTAATTATCACTTTTTATTAGTTTCAATCAAACAATCAAATTATTATTTTGTTTGTTTGTTTATGATTTTTCAATTAATTAATTAATTCAATTATTATTAGAAATTATTGTTTTTATTTCGTTTTATAAATTTTTTTTTTTTTTTTCGTTAAAAAAAAAAAAACCCTTGCGACCGATCGAGTGACCGCCATTATAAAAATACACAAAACAGGTAAATTTTTTTTTTGTGCTAAAAATAATAATAATAATAATATAAATGAGTGGACATTGAATGAATATAAGGGGATTATAAGGGTTGAAAATGAATTGAATTTCAAAAACTATGAGAGAGGCAAAAGGTACGAGGGAGTGAATAATAATAATAATAATAATAATAATAATAATAATAATAATAATAATAATAATTTAACATTTTTATTTGAAATATGAATATAATATAACGGATTATAAGGGTTAAAGATTTTCGAGCGGGGAGAGGGGAGGGGAGGGAACGAGGAGGTTGTCCGATAACCGAGTGTATCCATTTCAAAAAATATGTAATTTAAAAAAAAAAAAAAGGGAAAAATCGGATTGGATCGTTTTTAATTTAGAGGGGGGACCCGTAGGTAAAAATAAAAATTCTATTTCGTGGCGATGATGATGATAATGATGATAAGTTTAAATTTTTTATTTATTTTTATACTTAATCGTTTTAATAAATAATAATAATGATTATTAATAATCGTAACGTAAATGAGGATGATGATGACGATAAAAAAAAATAATTAATAATATTTAAAGTTTTTTTTTTGTTTTAATAAAAACGTTTTTTGTTTTTTTGGCGCCAAAGTTTTTTAATTAATAATATTATTATTTGCAGTATCGTAACCAGACTATTAAAAAAAAATGGAGGAACGTATGGCGTTAGATTCGATTAATTTCATTTTTGTTTTTTTTTTGCGGTTTTTTAAATTACAATAAAATAAATTTTTATTAATGCGACACAATTTAAGGATTGTGAAATGATAATAATAATGATAATAATAATAATAATAACAATTATCAAGTTTTTTTTTTTTTACATACACGTGTGTGTGTGTGACCGTAAACCTATTAACACCACCTGCTTTTCTATTAATTTTCTATAATTTTCCGGAATTTTTTTTTGTTTTGTTTATTTATTAAAAATAAAAATATTTTCATGCATGGATTCAAGTTTTATTAACAAAAATGATGATGATAATAGTAATAATAATAATAATTTGTTTTGTTTTCTCTCATTTCAGGTTTTCCTGCAGCCGCGTATGCCGCGTATGCAGCCGGCCGAAGCTATTCGGGCTATCCTAGTTTTGGATTATCATACCCAACAGGTAATCATTCAGCCACTTTGTACCACCATCCCCTAACGCTTCTTCCCTATCCTTTAGACGTCGGAGTCTATAATTCTGGAAATGTGCATCATCCCTTACCGCTGTGAACGTTTTTTAATACTAATAATAATAATAATAATAAACGAAAACAAAACACTTTTAACTTTTAAAACTATTTTTTCCGACGATTATTTTTCACGCGATGTTAATTATTATTATTATTATTATTATTATTATAAAATAAAATATAATTGTAGGGGGAAGGGGAAATGTAATATACCACGTTGTCACCATACGAGAAAACCATCATCCTCGCTCCCCCCCTTTTTTTTTTTTTACGTTCCTTAACGAAAATAAATAATGGCAAATAGAAATTTCGCGGGGGGAGGGGGGTATAATATGTAACACTCGTGGTTTTTGCAAAAATTTTCCAGAATCCTTTTCGCGTAAATCTTATTTATATTTATAACGGTAATAAGAAAAGGATTTTATTAATGAAATTCGAACCGCACATCAACCCCTAAGCTCATACTATAATTTAAAAGCTTAAAAAAAAAAGGCGGGAAAATTTAAAAAAAAACAATAAATTTTTTTTTTATTTATTAATTTTAATTTAAACAACGATCAATTAAACTTAATAATATTTATTATTATTATTATTTAATCTCGAAACTTTTACTGCCGTTTAATATTATATATATATGAAAATATTTTTAATAAAGACACGCGCACTCACGAACGTTCTATTTCTCTCTCTCTATCACGTAAATATTATTACATTTACGTTTAATATCACATACATATATATTTTTTTTATCGGTTTCCGGTTTTTAAAAAAAAAAGTATAAATAATAATAATAATAATAATAAAACGTTTATCAGAATGCCTACGGACTAAAAAAAAATAATAATAATAAAATAAAAAACGATAGGTATTAAAATAATAAATTAAAGAGAATCATTCTTTTTGTGTGCGTTACGGGTGGGTGTGGGTGAATGGAAAGCGGAAGTTAAAATGGAAAATATCGCGTGAATTTAACGTAACGATTTCCGTTTTTAAACGAGAGAGAGAGAGACGACAAGGAGGGGGGAGGGCGGAAACGTGGAAAAGGCGGGAAGAATCGAGTGAGAGGGAGTGAATGTGTGTAAACTAAAGTGAATGTTTTTAAAAATTTTGGTTTCGTTTTATTTTTCTCTCTTCGATTTTCGTCATGGCAGCATCAAATTTAAAAAAAAAAAAAAAAAAATTCAATGAGTTTAATTTATTTAAATTAAAAAAATTTTTTTTTAAAATGTTTAAAAAGCTTTTTTATGTCTTTAAAAGAGATATTGAAATGATTGTTACTTGAAAAAAAAAAAAAAATTATTTAAACGGAAACGGTTGAAGGGAAAGGAGGAATGAGGAAAGAAAAAGAGAGGGAAGGGGGTAGATGATGAGGAAAAGGAAAGGAAAGGAAAAAAAAATTGGACGTAAAAAAAATCAAAAATTGAAAATAAAATTATTTTTTAAAAATTGAATAAAATAAAATTAAATTAAAAAAAAAAAAATTATTTATTTATTAATTTATCGATTTATTGATTTTTCGTTTTTTAAGTGATAATAATAATAATAATGATGATGATAATGACAATAATAATATGATGAAGTTTTTTTTTCGAATTTTCTCGTCTTTTAAAAAATTTAACAGGAAAAAAAAATTTTCTATTTTTCTCTCTTTCGTCCATTTTTTTTTCTTTTTCTTTTCCCCACTCTCTCTCTCTTTCTCTCTTGCCCCCTCCCCTCTCTCCATTTTTCTTTTTTTTTTTTTAATTAATTTTGATTTATTTCAATATATATTTAAAAAAAAAATATATATATATATTATTGCGCGTTTTTACGTTTTTTTTTTTTTTTTGTTTTTACGTTGCCATAAATTAGACGAGTTCTCGTACACACAAAAAAAACGAATAAATAAAAAACAGCAACAACAACATAATATAAAATATTAATAATAATAATAATAATAATAATAATAATAATAATAATAATAATAATAATGATAATATAAAAAAAAAAAAGAATGCAACATTTGAAAAAAAAAAAGTTTTTTTTTTTTTATTCGTAAAAATCGAAAACAACAAAAACAGGAAAAACAACAACAACAACAAAAACAAAAAAAATTGAAAAGTTTTAATAAATTCATATGACAAAAAAGACGTGCAGGTAATGTTTACCAACATACAAAAAAAAAATTGAAATCGTTGCCAACTGTACGACAAAAAAAAGAAAAGTTTTTACAAAAAAATAAATTTTATTTTTTGTACCGTTGTTTTTTTTTTTTTTTTTTTTTTTTTTACTTTTAAAAGAGAGAATAACAAAATAACAAATCAATTTTTAAAAAAAAACGGAAACGGAAACGGATAAATTTCTTACAAAAATATTTTTGTTATTTTATACTTATGATAATAACAGTTTACAATTTCCTTTTGGCATTAAATCATTTGAAAAAAATTTTTTTTGTTTAAAAAAAATGAGAGAATTTATTTTGTTAAAGTGGAATTAGACAAACAATTATATAAAACCCAAATGATTTAACGTGGAACGAGAGAAAAAAAAAACTTGCAAATTAATTAAATTTAAATTATTTGACCAAAGTTTCTTCTTTCTTACAAACCCCCCTCCCCATCTCTTTCTCTCTCTCTCGTTCTCCCCATTAAAATAAAAAAACGAGCAAAACTAAATTACATAACGTCTATTATAAAACCTATTAAAATTAAATTATTATTATTATCATCATCATCATTTAAATTAATAATAATAATAATAATAATAATAATCGTTTTGTAGTCGTTTGTTATAAAAAAAGACGGTTAAAAAATTTTTAAATTATTTAGAAATTAGTAAAAAAAAAAAATAAAATAAAATAATAATAATGATAAAGGTGATGATGATGATGATGATAATAATAACAAAAAAAATATTTTATTACACCTTTTTTTTTATTATTAAAAAAAAAACGGGTAATTTAATGTCGTAGACAATAAAAAAAAATAATAATAATAATAAACGCGCGACAATACCTGTAAATTTATTCTTTTAAACACAACTTTATGATAGAATAATGAATTACGATTAATGATGATGATGATGATGATGATGATGATACTGATAATGATGATAATTAATGATGTAAGAAAAAAAAAAAAAACTTTTTCAAAGATGAAAATTTTCACAGGTAGAAATATATATATATATATATATATATATATATATATATATATATATATATATATGTATTTGTTTGTTGTTGTTGTTTTACTTTATTTTCGTTTATTTCTCTTACTTTATTTCTTTCATTCGGTGTTATCCGTTTTTTTTCCCTTCGGGCATATTTTTCGTTTATTTAACTTAGAACTTTTAGATGGGGGGCAGGGAGCAGGGAAAGAAAGAAAAGAAACAAAAAAAGAAAACAACATAAAGAAAGAAAGAAAGAAAAAAAAATTTTTTTTTTCTTTTTTTTTTATTTTATTTTTCTCATGTGAATCATTAAACTCCTCCCCTCGTCTTATTTTGCCCCTTCCTCCGTTTCGGCCTCTTTCCACTCCCACCCCTAACCCTCTCTCTCCCACGTCCGGAAAAAATATAGAAAATTTTTTTTGTTTATTTTCATGTCGGAAAATTTTTTTTTCTTATTTTTTCGTTTTTTTGTTATAATTTAGGTTAAAAAAAGAAAGAGAAATAATTATTTGACTAGTAGACGATTCTGGAATTGTTTTCTGCTGGAAAAAAAAAAAAAAAATTATCAAAAATATTTTTTCAGTTTTTTTTCATAAACGAAACGTTTCCGTTTAGAGATTTTAGAGGGGAAAAAAAAAATTTTTGAAAAATTTCCCAAATTATTATTATTTTTTTTCCGCCATTTTGAAATTTATACATAAATGATGATATATTTTATTATTATTATTATTTTCGCTATTCGAAAATAATAATATTTGTCGATTGTTTTATAATAATAATAATAATAATAATAATTTGTACAAAAAGGAAAGAACTACGAGAATTTATTGGTAGGGGAAAAATATCGTCGTCGTCGTCGTTAAACAAAAGCGGAAACGGAAGCAAACGGAATTTTTTTGTATTATTTTTCATTGTTTTTCAATTGATAAAATTTACAAAAAAAAAAAATTCGCGGCGTTTTCATAGAAAAAAAAAATTTTTTTTTCGTTTCAATGTTGGCAACGTTAATTATTTATCGTGAGCGTCGGTAAAATAATTTTCCGTATATGTCATTAATTTTAATTTCAATCGTTTTATTTATTTATTTTTTTTCGGAATGTAATACATAAATCTATTTAAATAATAATAATAATAATAACAATAATAACAATGATGATGATGATGATAAAATGTTCACAGAGGAGGCGCGACGCACATTTCATTTTTTTTTTTTCTATTTCTCTCCCTTTTCCCTTTTGCCTTTTCTCTCCGCTTCCCTCTTCTTCATTATTTCCCACCGCATCCCGAAAATTTCCCTTTTTTCGTTTCCGGAAAAACTTTCTTTTTTTTTCCTTTTTCATTCCGTTTTCCTTTTTTTCTTTCGGCCATTCTTTTCCTATTGTTATATAGTCTCCGTCATTTTTTTCCTCGGAGGGTTCGCTTGCCAGTGAATTAGGCCTTTTAAAAAAACATTTTCCACGTGGCTTGTTTTTTTTTTTTTCTCCATTTTCTTACTTTTTCACACATTGGGTTTGTGTCTTCTTTTTTCTTATTAATCTTTTTTATTACTTTTCTGCTTATTTTTATTATTATTAATAATAATAATAATAATTTACGCTTTGCATATTAAAATCAAATCGTGTTTGTTTTATTATAAAAAAAATCATTAACGGAAAATTCGTTCGTTATCAAAACGAACGACATAAACATTATTTATTTATGTTATCAAAACATTTTTTTATGTGATAAGAATACATACGTACGTAAAAACGCATACATAAATAAATGCATGTAAAAAAAATTAATCTTTAATAAATTTTTATTAACGTATGTACATATTAAAAAAAAAGTGTGAATCAATATTTTAAAAAAATTTTCTTTTTTTTAATCTTAATTTATTTATACCCGGGG